GCAAGGCAAGAGCTCTACCACTGAGCCACCTCCCCAGCCCCATCTCCAACTTTTTTGCTCTGTTAATTTTACTGGTTTTGTGCTTTGCAAAGCAGGTATTCTTACTGCCAACCTACATCTCCATCCCTATATTTTGTTTGTTATTTTGAGGTAGGGTCTCATTTCCTGCCTAGGCATGCACCTGGGCATAGTACAGTGGTACTGTAGAAAGCTCAGGAATTCAGGCTCTCTGGATCCAGAGTTAGAGCCACCTATCTGGCTTCAAACCTCTTTTTTTTTTTAAGGGCTTATTTTTATTAAGTAGTTGTATAAAGGGCTTTCAGTTCCAGAAGTCTAGTTAGGAACATAATGCATCTTGATTAGTGTTACCCCTTTTATCATTCTCCCCTATCTTTTCTCATCCCATCCTTACCCTCAAGTTACATAGTTCAATATACATAGTTAATGTATTAAATGTAGTAACTGCATGTGCCCCCCCTTCTTATTGCACTTGCCATCCCCCCCCCCCAAAAAAAAAACACGTTCTAGCCTTCTGGTATCCATTTTGTTCAACAGTTCATTAGTTGTTTGAAGGAGTTACTCTGTCAAACCTTTTTTGGTTTTTGATTTTTTTTTTCAAGACAAGGGTCAGCCCAAGATGACCTGGAACATGCAATATAATCCAGACTGGCTTCAAAATGGCAATTTTGCCTGTGCCCACTCTGAGTCCAGGGATTACTGACCTGAGCCAATGCACACAGCCCTATTTGTTTCTCTATTTGTAAGTTGGAATTAATGAGACAAGCTTCAGGAAGTTCATTGTTGAATATGATAGTGTTTTTTGAAACCATTTAACTAATATTAACTTGTCAATATTCACTGGTGATTGCTGCCAGCACTTTAAGCAGACATAAAAGTAGAAGTGTTGGCAAGAGGCAAAGATGGCAAAAGTAAATTTTGAACAAGTTTCTTCATTCAGCATGTTGAATTTATACTCTTAGGTAATACAAATATTCGTGAATGAGTGCAGGTATGAGCAAGTACCGATGTAAGAAAGGGTTTTGTGAAATAAAACTCACTGGCTAGCTCCTGATAACATGACAACATTGATTTACAAAAAATGACTTACATAATTTCCTGTAAAGAAGTCATCATGCATAGAACTCATTTTATTGATTTGGAGAACAAAATGAGGGCTATCACATCAAAACTATAGGAGAAGGAACTCCATTGGTAGCTCTGGCTTTTGCTTAGAAAAGTGATTTTAACAGTTGGAGCCATCCAATAATAATGGCCAAGTAATGAGTTCCCTGTCAGAGCTTGTATTAAAATGGAAACTGGATGATTTATCTGTTGGAGATATAATAGAATTCTTGCATGGAAGCAATCATTGGGCTACATTCACTCAACAAATGTTTGAATGCTACCTCTCTTATTTGAAAGGTTTGAAAGCCAGTGTTTTGTTGTGTTCTTTGGAGTTTTTCCTTGCTGTGTACTGAAACAAAGCCAAAGGCTGTGAGTCTTAGTCATTGGCTTCTATGTCTCCATTTGGAATTTGAGAAGCTAAAGCCAGGTGTTGGTGGTGATGTAACAAAAGGTCCTGTTTTTACCTGTTGTATGGGGATAGGGTGGAGTCCATGGCATGTACCTGGAGACATCAAATATAAATATGGTTTAGTGCTTTAAATTTTTGTTGATGAGCAAGTCTTCTAGATCCTGTGAAACCATTGAGTTATTTTAAAAATATTTTTTAAAGGATGCTCTGCCTACTGTTAATATGTGGTATCTTATGATGCCACTGTGCTGGTGGTTTAAATTTACTCATACTCAGGAGCCTGGGTCTGGCTGGAAATGGTTCACAATCCCTTGGCTTAGTCTTTTCCTTCATTCCACACACTTTTTTTTGCTATTCATGTGTCTTTCCCATATTCTTTTACAAAATTATGACAGTGGCTTTACTGTTACTTCGCTCTGTTGATTTGTTGAAAGTTGAAATTGATTTTGTGTCTTCATTGTTGGTTTTGGATTATTTTTGTGTTCTATTTGAGATGTTACCATCTCCTGTGTCCAAAGCCACTCAATAAAGTGGACAATGCAGTAGAGGAGGAAAAAGCCATTTATTTACCTTTGAATTCTAAGTGAATGTAACGTTTCTCTCCTTTCCTTTTTCTTTCTTTCCTTCCTTTCTTTCTTCCTTTCATTCCCTCTTCTTTTTCCTTCCCTTTTCCTTGCCTTCCTTTTTCTTTTTCCTTTCCTTTTTTCTTTCTTTCCCTTCCTTTTTCTTCCTTTCCTCTTTTTCCTTCCATTTTTCTTTTCCTTTTCCTTCCCTTCCCTTTCCTTCATATGGAGGTTCAATTAGTCATTTAGTTGTTTATTTACCAGGCATTTATTAATTGCCTACTCTATTGTAGATACAATGCTAAATATTGGCGGTACAAATATGAAAAAATCTTGTACAGCCCTCTTGGATGTCTTAAACTATAGAATTCTACAAAAAAAGAATGCTTTCTCTTGCTACTTCTTTTTGCTCTTTCTTGCCTTTCTAGCGCTTGAACTCAGGGCCTATGCTGTTGTTTGGCTCTCTTATTCATGGCTGATACTCTACCACTTGAGCCAGGCCTTCAGCCCAACATTTTGCTGGTTAATCAGAGGTGGAGCCTCACAGACTAGCTGCCCAGGCTGGCTTTGAACTTCCAGGTCTAAGCTTCCTAAGTGGCTAGGATTATAGGTGTGAGCCATCAGTACCTGGCTTCCTTTGCCATTTTTCTCTCAAGCATGGCTTAAATGGTAGAATGTGTAGCAAAGCAAGGCACTGAATTCAAATCTTAGTTCCTGTTGAGCTCAAAAGAAGAGGAGGAAGAACCTGAGACCATCAAAGGCACCCACAACTAGCATCTACTATCTACTCAGCCATGGCAGCAGACTTGCCATTAAGCTTGAAATATAAGGCACAGCAAAGAAAAAAAAAAGGAAACCAAATAATAAGTAATCAAGTTACTGATTTATTTTTGTAACTCACAAATCTTTACTATATTTAAGGACTGTAGAAAATCAGGATTTAATTGTAGCACTGAACAAGATGTAGACTGGGATAGAAGGAGACAGGAAGAAAAAATACTTGGGACTCATCTATAGACTATGTTTTTGAATAGTCATTTGAGTGACCTGTTGCTTTTGAGAATTCTTCTTTTGGAGGTTGGAAATAGTTTGAATGGATTCAATTCTCAGTGCCACAGAAAGAAAGAAAGAAAGAAAGAAAAGAAAGAAGAATGAAAGAGAAAGGAAGAAAGAAAGAAAGGAAAGAAAGAAAGATAGGAAAGAAAGAAAGGAAGGAAAGAAAGAAAGGAAAGAAAGAAAGAAAAAAGAAAAAGAAAGGAAAGAAAGAAAGGAAAGACAGGCAGGAAGGCAGGAAGGAAGGATTATGCTTTTGGCCTTTACCAAAATTGGTTGGTGTAGTAGAACAAGAGGGTACCTAGAAACCTTATGTAAATTGTAAACCTGGCAAAATTTTGTCAGAAATTGTTCTTTGTTGTGTTATTACTTCCTTAGTTGGGGCTGTTAACCTCAGAAGAATTTTGGATTAGTCTCTCAGGCTGTCAAGTCAGGGTCATAGTCTGCTAAGGATACATTTGAAAGGAGATACTTTTTTCAGTTAAACTTAACCTGGCAATCATTTTTCCTTGGTGAGAAAGACTTTTTGGGGGTAGGCATGCTCCCTAGATTCATGGGGTTAGCAGACAAAGATTGATTTTTGTTATGAACTTTGGAATTCCCCACTCTGTTTTAATTATCTCAAGCCATTGATTCACTCCTGTTTCCTTTGCTAGCATCAGAATATTAGGCAACCTTGCAATTACCCAGTGGATAGTATTCATTTATTCAGTAAGCATTTATTGAGGGCATGTGTGCCTCTTGTGTCAAGAGGCAAAGATTTCTTTGTTGCTTTGTATGCCTCCCCCCCATGGTATAACCCCTGTTTTCACTGTATTTGATGTTGGTATAATTTGTGGAAGGGAAGGAAAAAAACAAATTGTTTAAATAGGGATACAGGTAGACACATTGCACCAATGAGATGTACAAGATGTTATGTCGAAAATGAACTTTACAACTTGCGGGGACGGGGAAGGGGAAACAAAGGAGAAGGCAACAATGTTAGATAAGAAATGCACTCATTACCTTGCCCATGTAATTGTAGCCCCTCTGTATAGTATTTTCACAATAAAAATAAAAAGAGGCAAGATTCATGCTGGGGATAAATTAATAAACAAGGCACCTAAGTTCCCTACTGTCAAAAATATGTATGTATTCTTTTAAATTCCCCACTGTCGAAAATATGTATGTATTCTTTTAAGAAGCCGGGTGCTGGTGGCTCATGCCTATAATCCTAGCTACTTAGGAGGCTGAGATCTGAGTATCTCGGTTCAAAGCCAGCCTGGGTAGGAAAGTCTGTGAGACTCTTATCTCCAATAAACCAGCAGAAAACCAGAAGTGGCGCTGTGGCTCAAGTGGTAGAGCGCTCACCTCTTGCTGAAGAGCGCAGGGACAGCATCCAAGCCCAGAGTTCAAGCCCCACGACCAACCAAAAAAATAAAAAAATAAGATAGCTAGACAGCAAATGATTAAAATAATTTTAGAGTATGTCAAATTCCAGGAAGGAAATGAGCCAGGTACCATGTTAGAGAACATTGCAGGTAGGTAGCTTTTTAGGGTGATAGTCGGTTCTTTCTTTAGTTGGGATAAACAACATCATGGGAGAAACATAATACTTGAAAATTATCAGGAAAGCATTATTTAGCGTGACTTGTGCGTATATAGGAATTAAGATTAATACTAAAGAGATATTCGGAAATTAAATTTTACTCTTTATAATAAATTTTAAACTTAAAAAATTCAAATGAGCAAATTTAAATGGAGCAAATGACCTAGTATAGTTATTTTCCTTGTGTGATTAAGAATCTGAAATTGTATTACAACTATCCTGTTCCAGTAATTTGAGCCTTATGTATTTATTTCTTTGTCAGGTAGGGGCCTGAATTTTGATCTATGTCCTGCCTACATCCAGCTGCCTGAAAGTACTTGATGATCACATGACCCTGGACATGGATGCTGTTCTGTCAGATTTTGTCCGTTCAACAGGAGCAGAGCCAGGGCTTGCCCGAGATCTTCTGGAAGGTGAGGAGTCATGGGAGAGAATGAGAAGAGAGAGCAAAATACGATATTCATTGTTAGGATGATTTATAATATTTAAGGTACTCAGGAAGATAGATGCTTTGTAAATGGTAGGCCCTCTAAGTTACTTCTGATCTATTTTGTGTATAGTCCACTATAATTTTAAAATTCATAATCCTCTTTTACCTTATTCTTACTGGAGTCAACTTTTCTACTATCAGATTACATTCAGGTAATGCAAGGGAAAATTTAGTTCACTAAAACATGATTCTAGTTCTGTAAAATTCTTTTTGTGTGTGTGTGTGTTGGTCATGGGGCTGAACTCTGGGCCTGGGTGATGCCCCTGAGCACTTCAGCTCAAGGCTAGCACTCTACCACTTGAGCCATAACACCACTTCTGGCTTTTTCTGCTTATTTGGTACTAAGGAATAGAACCCAGGGCCTCATGTATGTAAGGCAAGCACTCTATCACTGAGCCACCTTCCCAGCCCGATTTCTGTAAGATTCTTTATATGTAATTGATTTTTAGATTTTGGGATCATGCATGATTTTGTTCTTTAACATATAGTCCTAAGTTAAGTGATTTAATGTTTTTACTTTGCTGTTTATGTTTATTCATATCTGCATATGCATATAGGTTTGTATATTCTAGATTTTAAAGCCCTGAGGGATTGGAATCATGTCCATAGGATTCTTTGTTTAGTGTCATAATTAATTTGTTTTTTTGGAATGGTACTGGCGTTTGAATTTTGGGTTTTGCCCTTACTAGTTAGGTACTCCATTTGAGCTATGGCTTCAATCAACAGATGCTTTGTTTAATGAGTGTATATAATGACACAGAAAAGCAAGCCTATAGTGAAGAGTCTGGTTCTTAGCATATATACATAATTTGTTGGCCTTTAGTTAAGGTATGATAGTCTGATATTTTAAGCTGGTTTTAAATGGCAGGAAGCAAACTATGGGGGGAGGGATGTTTGTGTCTTTCTTGGCAAAATAAAGAGTTTTAAAAATATTCTAAGTTCATTTGTTTAAATACTTGCACAAAAGAGTATGAGTTTGGAAAGAGAAGATTGAAGTTTGAACATTTATTTGTTTATGTATTTGGTCTTGGGGCCTGGGCGCTGTCCCTGAGCTCTTTTGCTCAAGGCTAGTGTTCTACCACTTTGAGCCACAGCTCCACTTCTGGTTTTTGAATGGTTAATTGGAGAATTAGTCTCACGGGAACGTTTCTGCCTGGGCTGGCTTCAAACCTCGATCCTCACATCTTAGCCTTCTGAGTAGCTAGGATTACAGGCATGAGCCACCAGGGCCCAGTTCAAAGTTTAAATTTTAATTTACTAATTTAGTATAGCTTTGTCCTTAACTTACTATTTCAATTCCTGCTGTTTTTCCCTACATTCCCTATGCCCCAGCCAGGCTTGACTTGTCATTTTTCATTTCCAGAGTATGCAGTATTCTTTTCTTCATTATTCTCTTCATCTTACATTATTCTCTTTCCTCTCTCTCTCTCTCTCTCTTCCTTTTCCCTTCCCTCTCCGCCTCCATCTCTCCCCCCCCCCCCCCCCCCCCTCAACTCAGGGCCTGGGCACTATCCCTGAGCTTCTTTTGTTTAAGGCTATCACTCACTGTACCACTTGAGCCACAGTGCCATCTCCTGCTTTTTCTGTTTATGTGGTACTGAGGAATCAAACCCAGGGCTTTATGCATGCTAGGCAAGTATTCTACCACTAATCCTCATTCCTAGCCCCCCCCCCTGCTCTTTTTTTGGGGGGGTTACTGGTACTGGGATGTTCTACAACTTGAGCTATGGCTTCACTTCAGATTTTGGAGATAAGAATTTCATGGACTTTCTAGTTGGGTTGGCTTCAGACCCTAATCTTCAGATCTCATCCTCATGAGTGCTAGGTGTGAGCCACCATCACTTGGCTTAACTTCTTTTATAAAATCATCGTTAACCATTCTCCATTCCTCTTGTAATGTTGAGTGTATATGCAAGCTACTTCAGATATACTATTTCATTGTTTTAACTGCCCTATTATAACTATTTATTTTTATTAGAGTATGTTAATTATACAAGATTTCTTTGTGAAAGCTCTATGCTCCATACATGTATATAATATACTTTGATCAAATTCACCCCTTTGTTGTTCCCGCTTATCTCCTTCATCTCTGTTAAAACTTTAAAAATTGGAGCTGGGAGTGGTAGAGTGCTTGCCTAGCATGCATGAAGCCCTGGGTTAATTCCTCAGAACCACATAAACAGCAAGTAGTGCTGAGGCTCAAGTGGTAGAGTGTTAGTTTTGAGCAAAAGAAGCTCAGGAACAGTGTCCAGGCCCTGATTTCAAGCCCCAGGACTGGCAAACAACAACAACAACAACAAAAAAAAACACTTTAAAATTGAAGTTATAGTGTAGACTAGGATTTGAACCTAGGAAACTTGGCTTCAGAGCATGGCTCCTAACCATTATACTACAAATTAGTCTGTGAACATATAAGCACAAGCACTCATGTTATGAAAAAAAGTTAAGAGCGCACTGATAGTGAAGAGAGAAACTTAATTTCATGTAGATCTACAGTGTAGGAAAGTGTTGAAGGAAATGTCATTTACATTGATTCTTAAAGGATAAGCAGGAGTAGTCAGATAAAAGATGTCACAAAGGGTGATCACATGGGAGAAATAGCTTATACAAGGGCCCTGAGCTGAGAAAGTTTGACTTATTGGAGGAACTTTTAGTGAGTGAATCAGAAAAGTGGTACAAGAGTGATGAGAAGCTAGATAAATAGGCAGAAAGCAAAATATGCAGGGTTACCAGGAATCAGAGGCTCATGCCTGTAATCTTAGCTATTCAGGAAGCTGAGATTTGAAGATCATGGTTTCAAGTCAGCTTGGGTGGAAAAGTCTGAGAATCTGTCATCTCCAGTTAACCAGCAAAAATGACAACTGGAGATATAGCTCAAGTGGTAGAGTGCCAGCTAAGCAGACAAGCCAAGTGAGAACATGAAGCCTTGAATTCAAGCTCCAGTAACTAGCACCAAAAACAAAGCCAGAGAGAGAAAGAGAATGGGGGAGCATCTTCTTTCTTGGCCATGGTAAGGAGTTTAAACCACATTATATCCTAAGTTCATTGGAAGTAACACAATTGCATTTGAGTTTTTAATAGTGTACGGGTTGTAGGGTATGGAATAGATTAGAGGATGACCAGTGCTAACCCTAGTTAAGAATATTGCAGGAGTTCAGGTGAGAGATGATGATGACCATAGTGGTAGCAGTATAGAAGAAATTAGGTGGATTTAGATACAATTTAGGAGGAGAATGAAGGGATCTGATCTTCATATCTTTTTATCTCTATCTTTGTGTTTTTGCTTTTTCCTTCGAAAGTTAACTGGTTGAGTGAAAGGGAACAAATTAGAGAGGGGAGAGATGAGCAACAGAGAGACTGATAAGAGAGTTTCCCTTTCAAAAGACCAAAGACCGAAGAAGATTATGAAGACTTGTATTGAAGCAGTGGCAATAAACATGAACAAAAAAGGAATGGACTTGAGAGAGATTTTGGGGGGTGCAAACAATCCTGAGGACTAACTGGATTGTGAGAGAAGAGAAAGTAGAGGAGTAATGAGGAGCTGAAAATGAAGTTTGAGGCCAACAAAGGATTGTGATGCCATTTCTGATTTAGGAACATAAAAGAAGGACAGAAAGTAAGTTTTGAAAGGGAAGAGGATGGACATTCAATTTTGGATAAGTTGAGTTTTCAAAGGTACTGCTTTAAAGAAATTCTGCATCAGGTATGCATTGACTCAGGAAAAGTCTTCCATTCAACAAATGCCTACCATATGCCAGGCACTGTTTTAGATGAACAAAACAAAACTCTTTACACTTACGTTGCAGTAGGAAAGGCAGCCAACAGATAGTAAGCATGATGACTATATAAATTATTATAAATTATAATCTATTATAAATTATATAATTACAAATTACATCTTTTATAAGATCTTGAGAGCTATGAAAAATAGTAAGGGCTGAGAAGATGGCTCAGTGGTAGAGTGCTTGCCTTGCACGCATGAGGTCCTGGGTTCGATTCCTCAGCACCACATAAGCAGAAAAAGCTGGAAGTGGCGCTGTGGCTCAAGTGGTAGAGTGCTAGCCTTGAGCTGAAGAGCTGAGGGACAGTGCCCAGGACCAGAGTTCAGGCCCCACAACCAACAACAACAAAAATAGAGGAATGGTAAGGTGCATGGTAATTTTTTTAGTTAGGCAGTCAAGGTAGGCTTTAGTAAGAATGTGACATTTGAGTAAATAGGAGTTGTGTGTGTGGGTATACTGGAAAAAGAGCTTGTTAAGCAGTGGGAACAGTCTTATGAAGAGGCCCTAAGGTTGCGACAGTCTTAGCAACTTTTTAAGAACCACAAGGGGATAGCAGTGACTAAAGTGAGCAAAGGGAGTTTAATGTAACGATTCAGAAGTAAAGCATAAATGATTAATATGGCTTAACCAAATTATCATAACCAGAACAGCAGCAGCATAACTAAGTGCATATAGAATACTTTCTGCATACCAAGCACTGTTCTACATACTTTTGACTCATTTAATCTTGATAACAACTCTGAGGTAGAAACTATTAGTATCATCTGCATTTTTACAAATAACAAAAGTGAAACAAAGAAAAGGCTAGAAAATTAGGGTAGGTCATAGAAAGCCTCCAGTCTGGTCATGCAACTAAAATACTGAGCATTGTGCTTTAGAAACATGAATCTCATCGAGGCACTAGTGGTTTATGCCTGTAATCTGAGGATCAAGCTTGGGAACCAGACAGGAAAAAAAAAATCTATGAGACTCTTATCTCCATTTAACTCACAAAAAGCTGGAAGTGGTAGCATGGCTCAAGTGGTAGAGTGCTAACCTTGAGCAAGGAAAAACAAGCAAGAGGGTAAGGCCCTCAATAGTGGCACTGAAAGGAAGAAAGAAAGGGGGCTGGGAATGTGGCTTAGTAATAAGAGCGCTTGCCTAGCATGCATGAAGCCCTGGGTTCAATTCCTCGGTACCACATAAACAGAAAAAGCTGGAGGTGGTGCTGTGGCTCAAGTGGTAAATAGAGTGCTAGCCTTGAGCAAAAGAAGCTCAGGGACAGTGCCCAGGTCCTGAGTTCAAGCCCTGGGACTAGCAAAAAAAAAAAGAAGAAGAAGGAAGGGAAAAGAAGAAAGAATGGAAAAAGAAAGCAAGAGAGGGAGAAAGAAGAAAGAAAATCATTTATCTTTTTTTTTTTTTTTTTGCCGATCATGGGGCCTGAACTCTGGGTCTGGGCGCTGTCCCTCAGCTTTTCGCTCAAGGCTAGCGCTCTACCACTGGAGCCACAGCGCTACTTCCGGCTTTTTCTGTTTATGTGGTGCTGAGGAATCGAACCCAGGGCCTCATGCTTGCAAAGCATGCACTCTACCGCTGAGCTACCTTCCCAGCCCCCTTTTTTTTTTTTGCTCAGTATTGGGGAACAAATCCAGAACCTTGTGTATGCTAGGCAAGTTTTTACCTCTGAAAAACATCCCTAGCTCTCTTCAAGGATTCTTTTTTATTTGTTTTGTGTGAGTGCTGGTACTGGGGCATGAACTTGATCTAGATGCTGTCCCTGAGATTTTTTTAGTCAAGGCTAGCACTCTACCTCTTGAGCCACAGCTCCACTTCTGTCATTTTGATTGCTAATTAGTTGTAAGAGTCTTATGGGCTTTTCTGCCTGGGCTTTGAACCTTGATCCCAGATCTCAGCCTCCTGAAGCAGGATTACAAATGTGAGCTACTGGCACCTAGCTTCTTAAAAGATTCTTTACGGTAGATTGGAGATAGGAAATAGGTGATAAAAATTGAGTAACAGCGTAACAGAAAGAAGTAAAAACAATTAAGCAATATGTAATTAAGTAGTTGCACTGGAATAAGCAACAAAAATACCCATTTGAACAAATCCATCATTTGGAGTGAGTGCTTTATTAGAAAAGTGAGTCTTAAATGTGGAGCCATATAGTTCCCATTGATAAGCTGATGATATCTGTGAAATCTTTCATGTACATACCTATGGCTTTGTATATAATTTTAGGTGGCTTAGGACATTCTAGAATACATCTAGACTGAATCTCGTTGGATCTCAGAATTAGGAGACCTGAGTTTGAGTCCTACTACTGGGCCCTGGTACAAGTTATCTGAGTTTTGTTTCCTTTTTTGTTAAAAGGTTGTTTTAGTTTAGGTAACTTCCTTTTGGTGGTTTTCATGGTTTGGTCAGTGGTCTTCTGTGTCTTCCCCCAATTTCTATACTCTGAGTACATAGTTTGTCTTTCTCTTTGTCTCCTGATAGGAAAGAATTGGGATGTGAGTGCTGCCCTCAGTGATTTTGAGCAGCTGCGGCAAGTCCATGCTGAGAACCTGTCCCCACCCTTTAGTGGAGGGAGTAGCGGCCCCAAGTCTCCTGAAAGAGGATGTTCTGATAGAGAGTCCACCCGCCCTCCCCGACCCATCCTCCAGCGGCAGGATGACATCGTTCAAGGTACTGGACTAACCAGAGGATGTTTCTGTATATGGAGTAGGAAGGGAGGGGACTGCTTAAATGGAGTCAGAAAGTCTAAGCAATAATTTAGAGATGTTTTTATTCCTTCCCTTCTCCCAGCAATCCCAGAAAGTACTTTTTCAAAACCTAGAAATAATACTTTTTAAAAATAACTTTAGAGAAGTATTTATTTATTTAATACCAGTCCTTGGGTTTAAACTCAGGGCTTGAGTGCTGTCCCTGAGCCTTTTTTTGCTCAAGGATAGCACTGTGCCACTTGAGCCACAGCTCCACAACCATCTTTTTGGAAGTCTCACCAACATTTTTAAAAAATTATCTTTAAGTAGTTGTACAAAGGAGCTGCTATTTAACAAAGCAGTTTATGAATGCAGTATATCTTGATCAAAATCACCCCTTTCAACATTCTTACTTATCCCTCCCCTTTTTAAAATTTTTTATTTTTTTGTATCTGAACTGGGGCTTGAACTCAGGGCCTTACACATACTCTAAGCTTCTTTTTTCAAGGCTGACATTCTACTAGTTGAGCCATAGCTCCACTTCTGGCTCTTTGCTTGTTAATTGCAGATAGGAGTTTCTCAGATTTGTCTCCCTAGGCTGGCTTAGAATCACAATCCTTAGATCTCAGCCTTCAGAATGCTAGCATTACAGGCACTGACTCTGGAAGCTACTAACACCCAGCTTCTTGATTTATTTTGTTTCATCTCTGGGCTGAGAATGACTACCCAACATTTCAGGTCTTGCCTTCTGTGATAATCACATTCAAGCCATGCTGACAATGGAATGTCAGCTAAGGAACTGCTAAGGTGCCATTTATTCAAAACAAATAAAATTATTTTGGGCAGTATCTACAGTACTATTTTCCTCTGTAACAGGATAATAATTAACAGCTTCTATAAATTTCTGATAAACATGAGTATCAAGAAAAGTTGTCAGCCGGGCATCACGGTCTTAAGCCTGTGATCCTAGCTACTCAGGAGGCTGAGATCTGATGATCACAGTTCAAAGCCAGCCCCGGCAGGAAAGTCTGTGAGACTCTTATCTCCAATAAACCACCAGAAAACCAAAGTGCCACTGTGGCTCAAGTGGTAAAGCACTCTCCTTGAGCTGAAGAGCACAGGGACAGCCCGCAAGTCCAGAGTTCAAGCCCCATGACCGACCAAAAGAAAAATTAATTTTATTGTAAAGGTATTGTGCAGAGGGGTTACAGTTACATAAGGTGATGAGTACTTTTCTTGTCAAACATTGTTACCCTCTCTCTTGTTTTTCTTCTACTATTTTTCTTTTCTATAATGAAAATCTTTTCTATATTCCCATGACCCTGAGTATTAGCAGAGAGATCATTTGGCTCAATCTAGTCTAATGAAACTCCATTTCCCTTATTCCCTTTTCTTCCCACCCCAAAATGACCAAGTTGCTAAGTGAATGGGTCTCTCTTGTGTTGAAAAATGATATTGGGAGAAGACAGCATTGTAAGAAGAAGGTGAGAAAAATTCCAAAGAAAGATTGAAAGATGTTAGTTGTTGATGTATGCCTGCAAAAATACCACTTTCTATATTCCTCCACTTGTACATGGTTTGAGAAAATGGATCAAAAAGTTCAGTAGCTGGTAAGACTGATTTTTTTTTCCTTACTGGAAACCTTGTAAAAAGATAACCATATCACCACATCAGTGGAGAGTTCTCTGAGTGGGTTATGTATGTTCTAAGGTGACTCCATTTCTCATTGCAGAAAAACGCCTGTCTAGGGGCATCTCTCACGCGAGCTCCAGCATTGTTTCCCTGGCCCGGTCCCATGTCTCCTCCAATGGTGGGGGTGGGGGGAGCAATGAGCACCCCCTGGAAACGCCCATCTGTGCCTTCCAGCTTCCAGATCTCACTGTGTACAATGAAGACTTCCGTAGCTTCATAGAGAGAGACCTCATTGAGCAGTCCATGCTGGTTGCCTTGGAACAGGCAGGTCAGTGAGTACTTCCTCTCCATCTAGAGGCAACTCACATGGGAGGGCTGGGTTTGATCAGTGACTTCCTGTCTTAGTCTATGATCTGATTGAAGTCAAAGGCTGTAGTCAGTCAGATAAACAAGTACTGAGAGCCTTTTGAAGTTAGAAAAATAATACAAATTAGACAATTTACTCTGGAAATTTCCTATTTGATAGAAGAGAAAACAGATATATATATATATATATATATATATATATATATATATATATGAATATATATATGAGTGGCCTGAAAATCAATATCTGAAAAAAAAAAAAAAGCAAAAAACCCCCACAAAAACAAAGCAACAACAACCACCAAAAAAAAAAAAAAATCCATAACTAGTTATAATTGGTTCTGGAGCATCTTTGCAAACAAAAAAAAACCAATGCTGTAGTGATGCACTAAAAGTTGCATCTATTTATATGCATTGTCCTCCAAGATTTATTAATTTAAAATTTTTTGTGCCAGTACTGGGGCTTGAACTCAGGTCCTTCCACTTTCGCTTGACTCTCTTCTTAAGGTTGATACTCTACCACTTGAGTCATACCTGCAATTCTGACTTGTTTTTCACTAGTTAGAGACAAGAGCCTTGCAGTTTTGTCTGCCTGGGCTGGTTTTGAACCTTGATTCCTCAGATCTCACTCTCCTGAGTAACTATTACTGCATTTATGAGCCCTCATACCTGGTTTGTTTTAAATTTGTTTGTTTTAAAATTGTGTTCGTTTTAAATTATTATTAAAATTAATTTGGTAAGGGGGACAGGGAAAGTTATAGAGAGGGAGTGAGATTGGAATACATTATAAACATGTGGAATGGTAATGATGAAATTCCCTCTATATAACGAATATAAGCTAATAAAAAATGAAGTCTGAAGTTAGAGGAAGACCAGTTTACTAGCTTTTAGGATAGTGCTATTTTCATTTTGTTGTTGCTGTGAGATTGGGACTTGAACTCAGTACCTGATGCTTTGTTCATGGGCTGGTGCTCTACCATGATCAGTGCTATTTTTTGAATTTTTATTATAAAAGTGATATACAGGGCTGGGAAGTTGGCTCAGTAGTAGAGCGCTTGCCTTGCATGCCTGAGGCCCTGGGTTTGATTCCTCAGCACCACATAAGCAAAAAGAAAAAACGCGGAAGTGGCGCTGTGACTCAAGTGATAGAGCGCTAGCCTTGAGCTGAAGAGCTGAGGGACAGTGCCCAGGCCCAGAGTTCAAGCCCCCCCCCCCAAAAAAAATAAATAAAAGTGATATACAGAGAGGTTAAAGTTACGTAAGATCAGTGCTATTTTGTATCTTTCCTAAAAAATAAATTATTGCTTATATCAAATAGTAAGATAACACTACTCCCCCCAAATATTATTAAAATTAATTAATACTCCACAGTGAAGAAGTTCTGGGAAACATCCAGGTATTAAAAAACTACCATAAGGGAAACATTGGAGATGAGAGATGGTGCATGTGAAGGGAGCTTGTAGTTCATAGCCATCTAGTTTAACCAAATGCAGCCATTTATAACTTTTATAAAGTTATCACAGCATCTGGGTAGTGAAATTTTCTGCTAGTTTTTTTTTCATAGACTTTTCAGTAGTTCAAGAAAATTTAAGCAGCATTCCTAACTATTTTCCTTCTGTAAATAAATGGGTTTGTAGTCGTGGTTGACTGTGCAAACTGAGACACATCCTCTTAGGTGTTTTATGTCTTTGTCTTTTTGCTCCTAACTTTAAATTCATACCACACCGATGCTGAATGTTGTCATACATGTAGATGATATGGTATCATGCCTTGAAGTTTTTTGTTTTTCTTTTTGTTTTTACTAATGATGAATTTATATTGACCTTTGTTGCTAGAGCATTTACTGGTCTTCTGATCAGAGTAAAGGAATAAGGGCCACACCAGTTTCAGCCGAAGTAGTTTTGACATTTGGGGTCAGATAATTCTTTTTTTTTTTTTATTTTTCCTCATCCTAGGACTTGAACTCAGGGCCTGGGCACTACCCTCTTTGTGCTCAAGGCTAGTCCTCTACTACTTGAGCCATAATACCACTTCTGGCTTTTTCTGAGTAGCTTATTTTGGAGATAAGAGTTTCATGGACTTTCCTTCCCAGGCTGGCTTCCAACCTCAATCCTCAGATTTCAGCCTCCTGAAGTAGCTAGGATTACAGGTCTTAGCCATTGGTGCCCAGTGCAGATAATTCTTCGTTGTGCAAACTCCCTTGTGCATTTGAAGTATCCTTAATCTGTATCCACTAATTGTGGCAAGCAAATATATCTCCAGACCTAGCACCAAACATTCCCTCATGGCCCCTGGGACAAAATTGTCCTTACTTAAGGCCAACTGATTAACCAGATGTGCTTACTAGTTTCTGACTAAATATAAAGGAAGATATAAAGTATAATTAAAGACATGGTGGCACACACCAGTAATTCCTGCATTCCTGAATTTGAGAGGCTGCTCCTGGAAGATCATTAGTTCAAAGTCAGACTAAGCTACAACAGGTCTTAACAAAACAAAATAGAAGGGGGGGGGGGGGGGGAGGGGAAACAACCATAGAGTGTAGTCTTCCTAGAGGTAGCTAATCTGTTCCTCTCTTTTTCTTCCATTTACATTTCTGCAGGGCGTTTGAACTGGTGGGTTAGTGTGGACCCTACCTGTCAGAGGCTGCTTCCTTTGGCAACTACTGGTGATGGGAACTGCCTCCTGCATGCAGCCTCTCTTGGTGAGTCTTGAAAACGGCCTTCTGCCTCCCTTTAGAAAGGGAACAAATGAATCAGATCTCGTGTCATATTTCATCCAGTCAGCTTGATTCCTGGAAGAAATGATAATTCACAACAAAGTTGTGTGTGTATGTGTGTATGTGTGTGTGTGTGTGTGTGTGTACACGCACATGTGCATGAGCAGCACAAGAGGAAATGGGAGAGAGCCCTGTCGTGGTTTTTCAATCTTCTTTAGAGATTGTGGAAAGTATAGGATTTAGCTTAGGCTCTACTCTGTGCTAATTCCTAGAAGTACCCAAAAGCAGTAAGCCAGCAGTACTGGGTGGGTAAATTCTATTTAATAGTTATTCTTTTGGTATATAGAAAGGATGTTTTCAGTAATCTTTGTAACACTTATTTAAATTATTCAGCCTATTTACAATTCAGTAAATTATTTTCTCTTTAGCTTTTAAAAAGGTCTTTATTTGCCAGTCATCCCTCAAGCTTTAATACTGATGGCTATTAACTAAACCAATCCTACCTGCTGCTGATTTGTATTTTGGTTAGACTTGTTCCAGGAGTGAGCACTTCCTGTCAGGATTCTGTAGGAAGTGTTTATATCCCTCACTTCTTAAAGTCTGGATCTCCAGAGTATAAACAGCTTTTCTCCTTCCTTCCTTCCTTCCTTCCTTCCTTCCTTCCTTCCTTCCTTCCTTCCTTCCTTCCTTCTTTCCTTCCTTTCTTTCTCCCTCTCCCCTTTCCTTTCCTTTCCTTTTCCTTTTCCTTTTCCTTGCTCTGTCTCTTGCTTCCTCTTCCCTTCCCTTCCCTTCCCTTAAAAAAACATGTTGTGGCACTAAGGTACCTCTAAGCTGGTGCTCTGCTACTTGAGCTATGCTTTCAGATGATTATTATAGAGAGGGAATCTCTCTCTCTCTCTCTCTTTTTTTTTTTTTTTGCATAGCCTGGCCTTGAACTGTGATGCTCCAGGTCTCAGCCACCTAGCTAGGATTACAGTTGTGAGCCACTGGTGCCCAGTGGAAATCCTTTCTTGATTAAGTACTTCTCCCCTAGATCACAGCCAGAGTTTCTCTGAACTTGGACTTAGCCTTTCTTCATGCCAGACTGTGTGTATCATATTTAGAGAGGGGCTAGAGATATAGCTTAGTGGTACGATACTTGCCTGGTTTGTGTGAGGCACTGATTTGATCCCTAGCACCACAAAACAACACAAAAAGGATGGAGCTGAGTCAAGGTAATGTGTTTATACCATGCTTTCTTGCTACAGGGATGTGGGGTTTCCACGATCGGGACTTGATGCTGAGGAAAGCTTTATATGCACTGATGGAGAAGGGAGTGGAGAAGGAAGCGCTGAAAAGACGCTGGAGATGGCAGCAAACACAGCAGAATAAAGAGGTGGGAGATCTTGGATGGGAGCATCTTGTTTCTTTTTTTTTTTTTTTATCGGTCGTGGGGCTTGAACTCTGGGCCTGGGCGTTGTCCCTCAGCTCTTCAACTCAAGGCGAGCGCTCTACCACTTGAGCCACAGCGCCACTTCCGGCATCTTGTTTCTTAAAGTTACCTAGTTATCGAAGTTATCTAAGTTACCTAAGGCCAACCAGAAGGAAATATCTCCTGATAGGTAAGACCAGTGTTATTTCCCATGTAATGCTGAAAACTGTTGAACATGTAGCTAAAGTTTTCTAAGTGCCTTCTGATACACTCATGAGAATTCGTGTGGGAAGCCAGGAGGACCTACAACATTCTAACATGATGCCTGGCACCTGAGAAGTACTCAGTAGCCTTTAGTGGCAGTTATATATAATGAGATGTAATTCCATCAGAGTTTTTTTTTTTTCTTTTCCTTGTCAAAAGGCTAAATTAAGTGGTGTGCCAGTGGAATACATTTGTAATCCTAGCTACATAGGAGGCTGGGATCTGAGGATGGTGGTTCAAAGCCAGTCTGGGATAACAAAAATCCAAGAGACTCTTACCTCTAATTAACCAGCAAAATGCGAGACTGGAATTATGACTCATGTTGTAGAATGTCAGTCATGAGCAAAAAAGCTCAGCAAGAGCACAAGGCCCAGAGTTCAAGCCCCAGTGTGCATATGCACGCACACACAGAAATAAAAGGGTAGATTAATTTTAATGTATCTATATATATTATGTACTATATAATATAGAATAATATATTGATTATAATTATTAATATATTATATATTTATATATTTTATATATAAGTATATTTTTTAGTTTCTATAGAAATGTAAGTGAATGAATATTTGGATGTACATAACACTTGTTTTTCATATTTTCAGTTTTAGTTTGGTTATAATTTATAAAGCATATCTAATAAATTGAATTTGAATTTTACTGTCCAGGAATTTAGCAGATATTGAGGCTATTTGTATGTGTGTGTGTGTGTGTGTGTGTGTGAGAGAGAGCAGGGGGGGGGGCGGGGGGGGAGGAGGAGAGTCAGTCCTAGGGCTTGAACTCAGGACTTGGGTGCTGTCCTAAACTTTTTTTTTACCCCTCTAAGGTAGCACTCTACCACTCCAACCACAGCTCTATTTCTGGCTTTTTGAGTTTTATTTGAAGTCTTATGGACATTTCTGTCTGGCTGACTTTGAACTGTAATCTTCATATCAGCCTCCTGAGCAGCTAGGATTACAGAACCCCTGGCACCTAGCTTGAGGCTACTTTTTTGTTGTTGTTGGTTGTGGGGTTTGAACTCAGTGCCTGGTCACTGTCCCTTTCTGCTCAAGGCTAGCTCTCTACTACTTGAGCCACTGTACCATTTATTTCCTGTTTCCTTGTGGTTAATTGGAGATAAGAGTCTCAGACTTTCCTGCCCCCAGCTGCCTTCGAACTGTAACCCTTGGATCTCAGCCTCCTGATTAGCTAGGAGTTCAGGCATAAGCCACTGGCACACAGCTTGAGGTTACTTTTGTTGTTGTTGTTGTTGTTGTTGTTGTCAGTCATGGGGCTTGAACTCTGGTCCTGGGTGCTATCCCTGCACTCTTCAGCTCAAGGCTAATGCTCTACTACTTGAGCCACAGCACTCCTTCCAGTTTTCTGGTAGTTTATTGGAGATAAGAGTCTTATGGACATTCCCTGCCTGGGCTGGCTTTGAACCTCGATCCTCAGATCTCAGCCTCCTGGGTAGCTAGGATTACAGGCATGAGCCACCAGCTCCTGATGAGGCTACTTTTACATAAGGAAGTAGCAATGGATTATTTGTTTGTTCCATCCCCATAACTAGAATTGGGTAAATGGTTTTCTTTGAGTTTGAAAGTCTTATTGAAACTCAGCCTCAGCTATTTCATGTATTTTTTTTTTATATATCCGCTTTCATCTTCTCGTGGCAGAGTTGAGAAGTAACATAGATTTGTAGCACCTAAATATTTATTATCTGGCTCTTTACAGAAAAGGTGGCTGATCCCTTCAACAAAATAATAGGCCCTACCCGACCAGAGGTGTGGCTCAAATGGTAGAGGCTATTGACAAGCAAGCTGAGTGTATGTTTACATGCATGAAAGGACCTGAGTTCAAACCCTAGTACTGAAAAAAAAAAGAAAAAGAAAAAAGAAATACATGCTTATAGAGTGGCTAGTAAAAGAGAAATTAATTTATTTTGTGGGCTTAGCATGGTGCAAGTTCCATACTAGAAATGTGGCCTACTGAATTGTTTTAGCTTAGACTTTGATAACATCTTGGGATTCCACCTTAGGAATGAAAATGGAAAGAAGAGGTAATGGACAGAGGAGATCTTTCAGTTTCCTAGAACCAACTAAATTAGTTTTGATTTCCTGGGCCTCCTTCTGTGTTGAGATTGATGGCAAAGCCTAGTATTTTCTAAAATGATGTAGCTAGAATTGTTTGCCACCTAGTGGCTGCTGTGTGTATTAAAACACGAAACATGAAAGGAAAGAGGAAGGGTCAGATCTTCTAGGATATGTGTATCAAAGTGACCAGAGCTGTGCATAATAACCTGTGCATTGTTATTTTTACTTCTAAATAAGTCTATTATAGCATTTTACAAACTGGAAATAGCTTGGTCTTTTTTTAGTTACTAAAGTAAAACATGCTAACAGTAGCTGTTCAATTCCCATTAAATATGTTCTTGACATGCCCCTTATGGTCCTTCTTTTGCTCTGTCAGCGTTTATTCAAGTCGTGTAAGCACATTTAAACACCAACATAGTCAAGAACACAATGTATATCCTACAAAACTAAGTAGACTGAGGGAAGGGGTGAGTAGAAGAGGGATGGGTGAGGATGTTGAAAGGGGCGATATGAATCAAGATAAATTGTATTCATAAACGACTTTGTTAAATAGCAGTTTATTTGTACAACTACTTAAGGATAATAATAGAAAAACATTAATGTAAACCGAGTAAATAAGGCAAACTTGTCTACTAATCATCATATGCATCCTTAAGCCCATTCATATTTATTTATTTATGTGTATTTTTTCTTGTGCCAGTACTAGAGCTTGAACTTAGGGCCTGGGTGCTGTCCTTTAGCTTTTTTGCTCAAGGATGGCTCTCTACCTTGAGCCACGCCTCTACTTCCAGCTTTTTGCTGGTTAATTGGAGATAAGAGTCTCCTAGACAATCTTGATATCTCACCCTTCTGAGTTTCCATAATAACAGGAGTGAGCCACTGTTTCCCAGCAAACCTGGGCTCCGGTGGCTCACACCTGTAATCCTAGCTACTCAGGAGGCTGAGATCTGAGGATCATGATTCAAAGCCAGCCTAGGCAGGAAAGTCCATGAGACTCTTATTTCCAATAAAGCACTAGAAAACCGGAAGTGGCACTGTGGCTCAAGCGGTAGAGTGCTCGCCTTGAGCTGAAGAGCGCAAGGACAGTGCCCAAGCCCAGAGTTCAAGCCCCATGACCGACCCCCCCCAAAAAATTATAGTATCACTTGGCACATATTTATTGATTACTGATCACATAATATACACAGAGTATATTGCATAAAGCATAATCCTGGCTCTTAAAAGCAGAATAAGAGGTAGACCTATAAAGAGATGGCCTATAAATACATGATTGCAACCAAAGGTAACAGGTATGACTTCTATAATAGAAAACTCTGTGTAGTATGTGGGAAGGGAAGGTACAAAGGAAGGAGTGGCTGACTTACTATAGAAAGATTTAAGGAAGACTTCATAAAAGAGTAACATTTGAATTTTGTCTTGAAAGTTATAACATAAAGTTGTTTGCCAGATGAATAGTGAATGAGTTGCTCTAGGCCTATGCCTAGAGCATAGACTTATGACAAATGTTCAGAGGTACAAAATAACATAGTACATGTAAAGGGCCACTACTAAATTAAGGGGTTATCAAGAGAGGAGAGATGGGTAGAGGCCAGGAAGTGGGTTTTGTATATGAGTAGGAGTTTGGGTTATATCTGAGGAAATTGAGGTTCTTAGAAGAACTACTGGCAGGAAGTAAACAGCATCAGATTTAAATTTTACAAAAGCATTTTCAGTAACACTGTAGAAAATGAATCAAAAGAGTGATGTCCAGAAGTAGCAAAACCAGTTAAAGAAACACTGTAGCAATTCATACTTAAATACTAGTTTTGTTGTACTATGGCTTGAACTCAGTCTTATCTCCTGAACCATGCGCCCAGAAAGGATCCAGATATAGGCTGGGTGAAAGGAAGACTAGAATACCAGATAACTCTCTGGTTTCTAGTTAGGGTGTTTGGATGATAGTTGCTTCTATTTACTAAGGTAGGACTATGAAAAGAAGAATGAAGAGAAGAATGAATTTGACTATAGAGTTTGAGGTCACCCCAGTAGGTAGCAGTGTTCAATAGCCAGCTGGATCTGTGAACATAGAAATTAAGAGGGGATTTCGGTCATGAATATATAGATAAGTGGACAAGATCATGGCAACCAAGAGATCACCCAGAGGGCAAGCAAGGCTAAAACAATTGACACAATTTGAATTTTGTGGAGAGTAGAGACAGTTTAGAAAAATAAAGAGAAAGCAGTGCTATGGAAACTAAAGACAAGAATGTTACTTACCATATGAAAGTTAAAAAGATGAGACTCAAAGAGTGCAATGAATTAGTTAATTTGAAGGTCACTGTCCTTTGACAGAGTCAGTTAGGTGAAGTTGTATGTGGAGGTAGGGCAGTAGTGTGGAGAGCAGAGACAAGTCAGATTATGGTGAGTCAAAAAAAGAACAGAAGATAAAGAAGTGTGAGAAAGGTCATAGTCTGTTCTATGGATCTTGACGAGGAGAGGGAGAAGAGACTTGGCTTTGTAATATAAGTGTAAGCCAAGTGCTAAGAGAATAGTCAAGTAACAGAGAGTTAGAATGGACCCTGACTTTAGAGTCTAACCTCTAATTGTTTAATGTCCCCTTTCATTATTGCATGTCTTCCACAGTCAGGACTGGTATACACAGAGGACGAATGGCAAAAGGAATGGAATGAACTGATAAAGCTTGCTTCAAGTGAACCTCGAATGCATCTAGGTACCAACGGAGCCAATGGTGGCGGGTAAGTATGCTTAAGTTGGGGAGCAGGAAATTCCTCATCTTCATAGAGCCTTCACTGGGCTGTAAGCTCTCCCACAATGTAGCATCCCCAGAGCTCTGAGTTAAGAGGATGTTGGAAGGAGAGAGAGGAGCCATGGCAAAGGCACAGAAGTATACATGAGAACCGAACACACTGGGAACGCCTAGTTAATTGGTTTTGTCTGAGTGGCACAAAATGATAGATGAAACTTGGAAACCCACTTTTTTTTTTTTTTTTTTTTGCTGGTCCCAGGGCTTGAACTCAGGGTTTGGGCGCTATCCTTGAGCTTCTTTTGCTTAAAGCTAGTGCTCTTCCACTTGAGCCACAACTCCACTTCTGGCTTTTTTGGCGATTTATTTGGAGTGTCACAGACTTTCCTGCCAGGGTTGGCTTCAAATAATGATCCTTAAATCTCAGCCTCCTGAGTAGCTAGGATCATAGGCATGATCCACTGGCATCCAAACAGCAACCTACATTTTTGTGTACCATACTAATGTTTCTCTTATACCATATTAAGGAATTATATTGCATTTTATTTATACTTTAGGAAACTGCAGGACAAATGACTCAATAGCATCAGTAAATAAATAAAAAAGAAAATAAAAGAGGACAGGGAACCAATGAAACAGAGACATTAATGAAACATATCAACCAAGTGGAATGTGTGGGCACTATAAAAGAAATAAGGGAAATGTGAAAAATGTTTACATAGTTTGATTATTGTTACTTTTTTTTTTTTTTGTAATGGTCCAGGTGCTTAAAATCAGGGCCTGGACATTGTCCTTGAGCTTTTTAGCTCAGGGCTGGCACTCTACCACTTGAGCTACATCTCCACTTCTAGCTTTCCAGCTTTTTGATGGTTAATTGAAGATAAACGTCTCAGACTTTCTTACCCAGGCTGGCTTCAGATCTCAGCTACTACAGACATATGCCAATGGTGCCTAGCTTATTGTTAATTTTTTAAGTTGTGGTTTTAAAAAAAAGTGTGTGTGTGTGTGTGTGTGTGTGTGTGTGTACGTGTGCACGTGTGCGCGTGCGTGCGCGTGCTGGTATTGGGGATTGAGCTCAGGGCCTTGCCCTCTCACTGGCACTCTATCAATGTGAGTCACAATACCACTTCCAGCTTTTTGCTGGTTCATTGAAGATAATAAGCTCACAGAAATTATTCTTGAATGAGGAAGTCACTCTTGAAGGGTACATAAGAAAGGAGTTTTGGAATTGTTTTTGTAAGATATCATGAGTGGGGCTGGGAAGGTGGCTCCGTGGTAGAGTGCTTGCCTTGCATGCATGAGGCCCTGGGTTTGATTCCTCAGCACCACACAAGCAGTAAAAGCAGGAAGTGGCACTGTAGCTCAAATGGTAGAGCACTAGCCTTGAGCTGAAGAGCAGAGGGACAAGTACCCAGCCCCAGAGTTCAGGCCCATGACCGACAAAAAAAAAAAAAAACATCATGAGTGTGTTGTATGGTGTGGTTGTGGTTTGGATAATCCAGATGAAGCTGTGCAGTTGTATATTACTGGATAAAGAGAACTGGAGGAGGTTTTTGAGCAGGGCGAATATGAAGAGATAGGGTTTACTTCTGATTCCTAATTCCATTTCAATTCCAGAGCTTCCAAATCTCTCTTCTTGTGTTTTCCTGTTTATGAAGAAGTAGAAACAATCATGATAACATAAAATAATCAGCTATGTTAGTGGCAGTCTTAAGATTGGACATCCAAAGATATTCTTTTCCCTCTCTTGAGATCTGGTCTTCATGGCTTTCTTGTTTTCTTCCCTCTCCATTTTGCTCCCGCCCTCCACTCTTCTCTCTTGTACCTGTAGGGTAGAGAGTTCCGAGGAGCCTGTATATGAGAGCCTAGAAGAGTTCCACGTCTTTGTTCTTGCTCATGTGCTTCGGAGACCCATAGTGGTCGTGGCAGACACCATGCTGAGGGATTCTGGTGGGGAAGGTGAGTCAGCCAGTCATCACTCTACACCAAGTTCTCACTTGCAAAGCCTTGGCTTAACCCTTGGGAGAAGGACAGGAAAGGGGATATCTAGACATTTGGGAGGAAAAAGAGGGAAAGATAATTCTCAAGTGATTTAGAGTAGTTGG